CCCCTGCAGAGCCAGGCCTATAGGCTCTGCTAGTTTTCTACAGAGAGACCACTGTTTCCATACAGAGAACTAAACTCCTACCCTGCATGCCAGCAGGGGAAATGCTTTTCTACTCAGGTTGTAGCTGCTTTCTAAAGAAAACAAACTGTAAGACTTTGCACACCTTTTGTTTTTGTTATACGTGGAATGACGATTTAAACTCAAAGTTTAGTTGGGATTTAAATCTCTCCAACGGGGACACAGGTAGCAATAAAAACATGAGAAAGGTTCTAACAAATCCCCACTTTCCTTGGTATTGGTCCTCAATATAGCAAGAGGTATGAGGATGTGCAACTTTCATTACTTCAGAGCAGTTAGAACACTGAAATACTTGTGGCTTATAACAATTTGCACATTGCTCTCTGCTTTATTACACAAGCCCACATAACCATCTGAAAACACAGAAAGCAATTTATTTTCCTTGCAGGTCAGAGCAAAATAAAATCCCCCAAATATCAGAATATTCTGATGAGCCCTGATCGCTCATTTAAGACTATTTCCCTGTGCTGCAATGGACGCACTTATAATCCCCCCTCCCAGTAAACCCAGCAACGCATAAATAACCAAATACTGCTACACGGCCTGACACTTCCCTCCAATCTGTTTCTCATCAACTACAATAACCACATTGGCATTTATTGGTGATATGGCAATCCCCTTCCATTAACCACGGGATGTAACTGGCCCGCAATGGGTTATATCTGGAAAAAGAAACATATAGTAAGATTACCTTCTTCCCTTTCTTTTTCTTCTTTTTAATTTGTTTGCTTCCCAGGGAGAACACAGGCTCCAAGCAGTCAACCAGATCGAGGTCCCACACGTCAATGACAGGGGTCATGTTACCGATGGCAACGTAGTTTCCTGGTGAAATTCAAGTCAGCAGAACATAAGTAATGAGGAGGTTTAAAGTGGAACTGTGTTGGGAGAGACCTGTCACCTACACAGCACAATATAAGCTGTACTGTACTGTAAACTGAAGAGATTTTTAAGAAGAACCGTGTTAAAGTGAATCTGTTGACCAACCTTCCCATGTAATACACCCCAGGTCCATAGATTAGGCTCTTCCAGGAGCCTACTCCCTGTGCCTGGGTATCCTCAAAACAATCATCGTATTACAGAAATGCGGAGCACAGCTTGTGGTCGATACTCAATACTTACTCCTCTGGTCAATACATTGGCCAGTGAAATTAGGGAGGCACCAATAACAGTATCAGTGCAGATGCTGGCCATTTTTAGTACTTGTACTCTTAAAAATGCCCCGATACGAAAAACCAATGCCATCGCTTTAAATTTTCAAAGTTATTTGGCTGCCTGAGGTCTTGCGCTTGCTGGGGACCTTGTGGCAGTCTTCTTGAAAACCACACGACCCCCCGTTTACAGTGCTTCCGCCTCACGCACCTCTACCCCTGCTGAGACCCTCCGCCCCAGACATCAGGCCGGCACCCCGGAACAGAGTGGCAGCATAGGGAATGTATCAAAACATATACTAATGTGCATTGGTATATAATGTATTGCTGGGATTTGTAGACGGTATAATTCTGCATTGCTGTGTAATGTATTGCTCGGATTTGTATCCTAAAATCCCCTATAGCCGGTGCCATTCTACAAATCTCTATAGCTGATGGTATTCTGCATTGCTGTATTATGTATTGCTGAAATTTGTAGTCCCTCTATAGCTGATGGTATTCTGCATTGATGTATAGCTGAAATTTGTAGTCCCTCTACAGCTCCGAACTACCAGGGTAACAGTGGTCGCAGCTTCGACCAGGCCCTGGCGCTCCACCACTGTCCTAAAATCATTAGTTTGTATTGTTTTAGAAAAACTGTCACATGACACACACACACACACAAAAAAAAGTATGTTATTGGCATCAGTGGGTATCAGTGCATCAGGTGAAACTACTCTTGCATTTGGTGGCCATCAGAAGGCATGGAACAGTCTTTGGAAGAAGCGGACAATTTTAGCATGGATTTTGGGAAGACCTAGGTACTCTAAATATAAAGTGAGCATGTAGGTAGGCGCTAATACCAAAAAGAGGGGGGGGGGGACCCACTGTATACTGTAGATTACATATACACCATAGATAATCTGATTACAACCAAAATAGGTTACCACTGCTTTATATAAAATCCAATTAAACACATGAGAGTTTGATGGAGCCTTATCAATCAGAATAAATCAATATAAGTACACAACACTAAATCATAACATAAAAGGTCATGCGGTACTGATCATGTAATAAAGTATCACTGCAGTTTTTGCTACCAATATATTCTTTATGATCTACCAACAATGTTCCAAATAGGATAGTGCATATAAACTGCAATGACAGGAGCTTTGCTTTCACCCTCTCTTGGGGTAGACAACTTCAAGTGGGGTTTTATTATGCATATGTAGGGAATGTCCACACAGCACTTTCAGGTTTTAAACTGGTCACAGCCAGCTTTAAGGTGCCCATACATCTTGCGGTTATCGTTCAATTTCCAAACAAAAACGTTTTTTCGTACGATAAATCAACCAGTTGAATGGTAGTCATCGATCACAATTACTGTAAAACGTGCCGAATTTCATCTATCGGGCAAACTAGAAAAAACTTTTTTCAAATCATAGAAAAAAAAAAAAAAATCGATGGATTAGTGGCAACATGAACACTGCACATGCGCAAATGAAAATCCCTTCTGTCGATCGACGAAATTGGGTCAGTGAGTACTGCTAACGAACGATAATTGAAATCCACATGATGGGGTATTCGAGCAGAAAAGGAACGACGGTTCGGTGAGGGCACGAAAGAAATCGAAAGATAATCGCAAGGTGTATGGCTACCTTAAAGCAGGTTCACTCTCTCTATTTGTTAAGGTGGCCATACGCTCTACAACCATCGCAAGACTTTAGTCTTGCGATGGTTGTAAAGGGATTAAAAAAACGTACGATCTGCCTATCTTGGACAGGCAGATCGCACTCTCGATCATCGCAAGCCCGCCC